AATGGCTAAATTTTATAATAAAAAAGTCATAGCCAAGTCGTTCAGCCTGGGTGAACTAGTTTGGAAGACGATACTCCCTTTGGATACCAAGGATCCAAAGTACGGGAAGTAGTCGCCCAACTGGGAAGGACCATACAAAATAAGCAATGTATTGCCTAATGGAGCATACCACTTGGAAGATTTAGATGGCACCAAGCACGTAAGATTCATTAATGGCAAATATTTGAAAAAATATGTTCCTTCTTTATGGGAATGCGAACAGATAAAAACATAACCAAACATTCTGGACGATCAAAAAAATAATAAAGACAGAGCGAAATACGTTCAAATAAAGTTCTTTATTACCAAACGTTCATTACAAGAATATAAAAGATACAAGTAATAGGCGTGTTACAAAATACAACTAAAGTAAGATGATCTCCCAGTCGATCACTGAGTAAGCTTCACACTGCCTTCCTAAATGCATCGCTGCAGTGGTGGGATTGACGAGTGAGAGGGTGTACTGGCCTCACCACCTTCCTAAATGCATCGCTGCAATAGCGAGCAAATAGGCTGAGAAACACTCTCAGCAGGCAAGCTGAGAAGCACTCTCAGCAAGCAAAATGACCCATGAGCAGCCCAAAAATTACCTCCCATTATTGACTCCTTGTGAAGAACAAAGAGACGATGGGAAGAATTTTGCAGGTAAAAATTTTGCTGCGGGCCAGAAAACATTTCCTATATCTCCCATACCAAAGGGGACATCAAAGTAAATATAAGGCGGACGGACTAAACAGTCCATTTTTGGATCGGATTGATCGTCAGAATGCCAAGAAATGGCAGCAAATTGGTTTCGAATAAGAAAATGAGGAGATGAAGATAGAGGATGAAAAATGCTAAACATTTATAAGGGGGTGAAGATGAAGAGACAGAATATGAACAGCCACATTTCTGTCTAATAGATGGAATTAAATGGCCCTAAGTCTTGGGAACAGTAGTAGGAATATCAAAAGGGAATGGACAAAATTCTTAATGCAAAGCAGTTAAATGCTTAAAGAATTGATGATTAGAAAATAAACATCAAATAAATGCACAAGAAATTAATGTTCATTAATAAGGAACAAAATTACAAAAAAGAAAAGACATCGTGTGTCTTAATTACATTCTACCCCATAAGGAACGAATTCGTTCCCTAAGTTTTTCCCAATCCTCGTTCTGTCGGGAGGTAGTGATGTTCAATTCAGCCGCAACGTCATCATCATCAACCTCCAGCTTCTTGTACTGTTCGACCAAGGATTTAGTTCGCTCAATTTCCTGAGAGGCGTTGCGCTTTTTTAGCGGCCATCCTCGCCCTGCAATCGTCCATTTTGGCTTGAAGTTCCCTCATCTGAGCAGCCAAGTTAACCATCAAGG